TTATTTATTCATAACTTAAATTATATGCTCATAAGTTAACATCTTGTCTTCTTATTGTCTATTATATAAAAATATATTATCTAATCCTTAAGAATATACAATTTAGCTCTTAATATTTTTCATAAAATTATTTGATACAAATGTCATATGTATGCACACACACACACATATATATATGTAAATTTTCCTTCCATTAATTAATCTCCAAAAATGTAATAATCTTTAAAAATTAATAAAAAAGTTAGGAACTTACTTTGTTAGATGGTGATAATTAATACCATATAATTTCTAATAATTGATTGATTTATATTGACTACAAAAAAAACCAACTTAGATTGTAGGGTGTTAGCAAGGATAATTCCCATTATGCTTTTGATGCACCATTTTTGGTAACTAATAATCTTTAATAATTAATTTTTTTCTACAGTTGATAATATTAATTAATGGAATATATATATATATATATATATATATATATATATATATATATATATATATAATAATTTTAAAGGCTTTGGTTTATAAATAAATTATTAAATTAACTACCATATTAGAAATATTACAAAAAATAAAAATAATTTTCAATCTTAAAAATGTGATATTTAATTAAAAAAGAATGTAAATATTTGTGTATATCATTGATAAAAAAATAAAAATAAAAATTTTAAATGTAATATCAAAAAATTAGTTTTAATAAGTGATTTTCTTAACAAAAAATAAATAAATTCCAAATAAGGACTAAGTAAAAAATATTATTATATATTTTTTTTGTTAATATCTTTTTTAAAAAAAAAATAAGATTTCATTATTAAAAAATTTCTACATGAAATTTTGGACCAATTATATGATTTTAAATAATCTTTATAATAATCTAAACTTTCTTAAGATGAAGAAAAATCTAAATTTTTTTGAGTATAATCTTGACATAGAAATACTTAAAATTTCTCAGTCTTCATAATGCTAATATTAGTTTCAAGCATTAATCCAATTAATAAAAAAAGACTATTCTATAAATCTATTTTTAAAGTATAAAATTAAGCCAAGTTAGATTTTTGATCATACCAACAAAATATAGCAATAAAATTTTAATTAAGTAGACTCATCCATTTTTCGATAAATATTAAAAGATAACATATAATACACAAAATATCTAAGTTTTTTTTTTTTTTTTCAAAATTAATATTAAATTATTAATTTTTTTTTATAGAATTCATTTCTAGAAGAATAAGTTATATTATAAACATAAACTAAAGTATAATTTCAAAAATCTGTTATAATTTTTTTAAATTATGTAAATTTTTATATCATTCCTTATAGACCTTTAGAAGTACCTAAAAGTTTCCAAAGGATTCCATATTCTCTAAAAGCTTCCATAATCTTTTGTTTTCATTAAAGACTTTACATAATTTTTCAAGTTTTTTAAAATATAATATTTATAGTTTTAGAATAATCCTAAATTCTTAGTAATTCTTCTTGAAATTTGTACAAAACCTAGTTTCTATAGTAATATAAAAAATTAAGACAAGGGATGTATATATTTTCTTAATAAATGTGTCAAGAAATCAAATTTTTTTCTTGTCCTTAAGCTCATATTTGAGCTTTATTTTAATCTATCATCTTATTTTGATGATACTTATTTGTCTTTTAATTCCTTATTTTGTTATGAAAAAAATCAAAAAAATATAAAAAATAATTGTAGAAGTAATACTCGTTTATATATATATATATATTTGACATTCATGTAAAATAGTTTTTTTTAAGGGTTTCATGATAAAAATTTATTTGATTTGATGATTTCATGCATAACCAAATTTTCTGAGTAGAGTTTGTGAAAATAAAAATAAAAATCGATCATACTATTTTAGATATGTTCGGGAAGACATTAATAACTCGAGCTAATTGTTTTGTTTCGAAATGAGTTTTGCTTGAATGAAAACAGGTTTACGAAAATATACATGACAAGTATATTCTCTCATTCGGCAGCTGCTCCGTGAATATTCCATCATCTGTCAGCAATTTGACCTCCAGCGGCGGTTTCAGGATTCCTCTCCATCACATAAAATAAATAGTTGAGCCTTCCTTCAGCTGTTCGAGATCGATTCATGGCTGTGCAGATCATTAATTCCATTTCCTGCTGTACACAAATCTGCATGCTCCGTGTTGCTGTAAACAGTAGACAGACCCACTTGTCTATCTGTGTATCAGCGAACGCATAACGCCCCAGTCGAAGAATTCACGCTGTCAGTCTGCATTCTTTTGCAGATGTTGGTCGGCATTTCAAGGGAACGGTAGTCGACTGCTGCGTTGAAGAGAATTCTGCCGACCATTCTGTAATTTATCTTGTCCTCAAGGGAGAGCATGGCACTATAACACGAGAAGGTAGAGAAGCAGTGGATCTGATGTAGTTTGTTGAAACTGCCGCAACGTTTAGATCCATGAGATCGGGATGCTTTGAACGATGCAAACTATCTCTTCACACCAGCATATCGACTCCCGACAGTGAAAATGCTGTCAGATGGCACAATCCCATTGCGAGATTCAACCGATTTCAGGAAAATCAAAGTATAGCAAAAATAATTTAGAACCTTGATATAGGTCTGATCACAGTGTTGCTTACGTGTAGCTATGAATCATGCACAAGTTAAGAATGGCGTTGTGAAGGCGCCAGGAGGGGTGTTTGCCCGCCACTCGGCAATCTTGGTGCACTGCAGACCCCGCTGCAGTGCCGAAGCACCTCGATCCAGTGGGGCAGTGGTAACGGTTTTCGCGACAAGCGATGGAACGAGGGGACAGCTGATAGGCCGCATGATGTGGCCCCCACAGTAATGTCATGGACGAATCCCCTCAATCTCAGATAAGGAAACAATACCATGCATTGGACCCCACCTTGGGTAAATCAGCGTTTGCCCCCTACTCTAAGTTTAGCTTGCGCCTCCATCCTTGCTGGCTAGGTCCCGCTAGTGGTCGAGCACTAGAGCCAGTGACAAACCTGACTTTTGCCATATTTCAGTTGTCCCACATTTCCACCCCTAGGCGTTTGTCTTTTTCTGGGCTAGGTCTCCTTGCAGTGACAGCGACAACAGCTTCGTCGAGACTTCCGTACTAAACAGAATGGCGTCTGGAGTGGATAACAGGATAACAGAACAACAGAATGTTGGATATGATGCCGTTTTCTCTCCGAGAAGTTTGTGGGAGCGACCTCGAGACTGAAGAGAACGTGGCTGTTGGCGGTGCCAAGTGGATGGAAGCCTAGCAGACGAGGGGAGATCATGTGAGAAGGTGGAGGCGAATATAAACCGAAGCGAGGGCTGATTTACAGGATCATGTCACACCGAGCAGTGACATCAGTCGAGACAGACTGTGTTCTTTGAATGGCTGTGCCTCGTCACACTGCAAACCAGCCTGACTGAGAAAAGTGCATCAATCTACGTGCTGTCTAGAAAAAAAAACAACCTTCCCGATTGCAGCTTAATCGCGCCTGCTGCCGACGAGAGAGGGCAGTGGGAAGGGATGATATCCGAGGCACTTAGTTAGTTGTCAACCAGCATTTTACTTCAAGGTTTGCAGCATCTTTTAAAAACGGTGAGTATGCGCAACCCCATGACTGCATGTCTCGAATTATTCTCCCAACCTTCTCGCCAATTCACTCCACGATTATGAGTAAAATTCTCCACAACCACTAATCTATGGTAACAATTCAGATTGATTCTGCCATTCAGAGGGATGTGCTTGAATCTACACTGTTAAGCTGCAAGTTTCTCTGATTCGCAAATCTGCACTATTCAGATTTTCCCGGGTAAGATTTTAGCCACGAGTGTCCACAACAATTGCCTGAATTGGGCAATTGTTGTGAAATCTATTTTGATAGTCATAGCGTGGTTAAGCAATCGGATGCCAACGTGATCCAGGCAGTCTTTTTTCATGGAGGAGTTCAAGGTGAACTGAAATGAGTCCTTTTTCACATTCATTTTCTCTCACTTTGGGGTTCATTAAAATCATTTTCTCTCGCTAATGGTTTTAAATAGGATTAGCCATTAGTGAGAGAAAATGATTTTAGCCATGAGTGTATTACACGACTTTCAAAACCATGATAAAAAAAAACAAAAAAAACAAAAAAACAAAAAAAACGTAATAAATATCACTGTTGGTTTTTGTCAATCTCGTGTTCAATCTAAAAACGTGTATTCTATAAAACAATTATATCTAAAATTTATAACGACATGTTACTGATATTTTCAAGTAGGTTATTTTCCATTTTATCTATAATAAATATCAAAATTATCATTGCGCACACATGTAATCAATAAATATATATATATATATATATATATATATATTTCAACTTCTAAATCACATCAGTTTCACTAATTCATACAATTAAATATATATATTTATATATATTTGTATTCATTCACTATATTTCTGTGGTGATTTATCGTACTTTCAACGACCACGACATTCAAAGTCAAAATTTCCAAGAACATATAAAAAAACAAAAAAAAAAACAAAACAGAAACAAAAACAAATCATGTCTTTCATGAGCAACACAAAATATGCCTTAGCTTATGTCCTTTCAATATCCACGAACATTTTTCCAGAACCACCAAGTTATGAATTCAAACATGGTGAAACATTCATCAATAGAAATAATCACACAAAGAAAGAAAGAAAATAACATGCAAAAGGGTGCACGCGGTGTGCTCGGAGAGTCCTGGAAAGGAAAGAAGAAAAATCTCAGACAACAAAACAAAACAAGGAGATGCTTCCAAGAAGGAGGAGGAGGAATGGCGCAGCCAAGCAGGGCATAGTATAACATAATAACATAATCGCCCTCCTCCGCAGCAGCTGCTACTGCTACTGCTGCTACTCTTGGTCCCCCGGCGGAAAAGTGGGACCCACCCTCACTCCATCTACAACAATTTCACAATCTGGGGCTGCAGCACTGGCACTTGTGGCACCTCATTTCCTTTATATATATATATATATATATATATATATAATCTCTATAGTCCCCATTCCCGTTGACTTGTCTTGTCATTGTCTTGTGCTTCCATGCCATAGCCCTTTCCTGCTTGATCTTTGGCCTCATTTCCCTCTTTCCAAGACCCTCTCTCACTCACACTTGTCTGAAAACTTCGCTCTCTCTCTTCTCTCGCTCGCCGTGGGTTCTGTGTCAGTGAATTATCTAGCTTTGAGTCCAAGAGGTTGCAGTTTGTTGCAGAGCTGTGGAATTGTGGGATCAAGCACCGGGCGGGTCTACGTGACGTGGTGTGCTGAACTGGATCGTGCTTGCAAAGGAGGGCTGTGTCCAGGGGTATTCGTTGTAGTTCGATTTTCGGCACCATTTCGAGAAGGTCTAGAGCTGTGGTCGTCGCAGGTGGTTGGTGTGTGGGTCACCGGAGAGTGACCGAGTTGTGAATTGTAGCTAGATGCCTGCCATGAGTTTAGTTGCGGGGGGACGAAATGGTGGCGAGCAGGTGCAATGCGGTGGCCCTATAAAGGGTTGCGGCAAGCCGTTACCCAGAGTTGGAAGGAAATCAGCTTGTGCGGCACCGGGTACTTACCCACCGGCACCGACGTGCCCCGGGGATGCAATGCAGTGGCACTGCCATGGGGCTAACTACGAGGAGCTTGTCTCGAATTTGCAGAGTTGGTTCCATGTACCCTCTCTGTATTAGCAGTGTAGAAGTTCGTGCAGTCACCTGGTTGCTTGTGGCCTCAGACTTTTGTGATACTCAACACTGAATGCTGAAGCTATTTTATGAATTGTCCTTCATCTCTTGTTTGCAGATCGTGGAATTTTGACTTCGTTGGATGCGGCGGCTGCAATGTCCAAGGTCGACCGGAAGTTGTTCGTGCCAACCACGGGCTTCGCTTACAACGACGTCCCTCAGGTCATCGGATATGGGGCGACAATCTCTGCTCCTCACATGGTAAGCGATCCCATCAAGACTGTATTCTCGAATTATTGTTTTCATACAGATTCTACAGTAACCAGTATGAGGAGAAGTAGAGTCGACGATATCGTATTTTCGGAAGAAATGTGCAGGTGAATCAGCACTCAGAATAAATTCCCCTCCCTGAATTGCAATTTTGAAGTTTGGTGGCGTTACGGTGCGAACAATTTTTTCTAATAAAAGAAAATATGCTGATGCGATACTGACACCACTGAGAGTTGGTGTACAGCATTCCCATTGCCTTTCTTTGCTGGCGGATTTCGCAAAACCGGGCATGTCAGTTCTCGATGTCGGCTCCGGATCTGGCTACCTGACGGCTGTCTTTGGCCTCATGGTGGGGATTTTCTATTTTATTTCCAGAGAATATTCGGAACATGACTTTGGATGCATATGTATATATAGAAAACAGTCGTGTAAACATTTTCCATGTGTGACTTCCATTTGTAATAAAAACCGTGGGACAAGCTTGGGAATATTGTAGGTTGGAGAGACTGGTCGAGTCATTGGGGTTGAGCACATTCAAGAACTCGCTGAAAGATCAATCGATGCTATCAAGGAGACACCGGCGGGTGAGCTCATGGACAAAGGGAGAATCGTTGTACATGGTAAGGGCCAACTATTTTATATAGCGAAGTTTAAATACTGTCCAACATCTGGCCCCATTCTGACATAGAAAAGAAAATTCTTGACTGTATTTGCAGTTGCCGATGGAAAGCTTGGCAATGAAGAGGGCGCACCCTATGATTGCATTCACGTCGGTGCTGCTGCTCCAGGTTTCTCTCTTAAATACCGGCCTAGTATTACTACATTCACAATGTATTGTAAACTAGCATTTCCTAGTGATGATCTGTATCGAGCACTGAAGGATTTGATCTGATCTATATGTACAGAACTTCCTGAAGCTCTCGTGCAACAACTAAAACCTGGAGGTCGAATGGTCATTCCACTGGGAACAGATAACCAGGTAATTCTAAGCCCTATCAAACTGAGTTCATTGAATGATAAGGTTACGAAAGTTGAAAATTCCTCCGCAACCTAACACTCGGAACCTTTCGTCGGTGTAAAGGATTTGGTGATTATCGACAAACTGCCGGATGGATCGATCAAGAAGACCATAGAGATGGTTGTCCGATACGTGCCTCTCATCTAGAAGCGGAGATTTTTTTTGCCGAAGACGTGTACTCACCCTCACCGTCAACAGTATGCATTCTATTCTAAAGCAATTCTGATCCTATAAAGCTACTAGGTCCAACACGGTTCACATACTCTCTTCTGAAATTAATTAAGAAGCTATGATCGCCTCGGCCCAATAATATAAATACTTCTAAACATTGATAGTGGCAGATCACAGCAATCTGAACTTCTAGCTCTACCATTCCCTGGCTGGATGATCCACTGCAACATTCCCTCACAACTCTGCAGTTCCTAAAGTCTCTCAGCTGTAAATTAGACTCCTTCCATGCCACCCATGGGACAGTTTTTACGGTTGTGAGCTGCAAATTTCGCTGACGACACTCCCTTGAAATCAATAAAGACTACTAGTCACTCATTCACACCTTCTATCACTAGCACATTCTATTATACGCCACAGGAGCTGAAGTCTACTATTTAGTGGTTTGCTGTTTAACAATTTCGGTCGAAGTAGATGCTTTGTAAGGCTTGTTTCATTATTGATTATTGTTTCATTAATGGCAATCCAATATCTGTTAGCACCCATGATCTTTGGTGGTTGTTACATTAGGTTGCAGTCATTGTTAACTATTAGTTCTGGGAAATAAACCAACTTAGGTGGGGTTTAACTTCTGTTGAAATTGGTTTTTTTTTTTTTTTTTTTTTTTTTTTTTTTGCAAACCAGCTTTCTTGGATTATACTAAAGTCTTTCATACTGAAAACTGATTTTTTTATTTTTGTATGCTGTTATTTATTGGTGTTTAGTTTGTTTTAATTTTAGGAATGATGTGAATCAAGTTCCATTTTTTTTTTTCTTTCTTTTTTTGATAACACTTTTTGTATGACTATATTTTGATTTTTTTAAATGATTTTTCTATTCTAGGTTGATTAAAAGTTAAAATATATTTATTATTTAAAAAAAAAGAAATCAAATAAATCATATGTTTTAGAACCAAGTACATTTTTTTACCAATGGTTTATATCATGTTGAAATCTTATAAATAATTAAACAGTGCATGAAATCTTGCTTTAAATTCTATTCATATGTTTAAAGTCTTTAGCAAGTATGCAGTTTATAAAATACAAGGCTTTTAAAATTACTAAAGAATCTTCTTTTCACTATGAGATACTATATATTTGTATATATTTTAGTATGTAGACTTGTTGGCACTTTGAAAATAAAATAAACAGCTTACATAAGTATATGTTTAATATTTTTGTTGCAAAATGTAATATTTAGACTAATTTTTAAATGTACTTTAGAAATAGATGACTTAAAATAATTTAACTTATATTCTAAGTCCACGCAATAAATTATACACTACATTTAGAATTTAGGATTGTCGTATGGCATTGAGTGTAAAAGTCATATGAATCAAATTTTTTGTGCTTGCAAATTGTGTTTGGTAGTTGATCACCATATTCAATATTTGTAGAGAATCGTCTCCCTCCACAATTAGGAAATCAGTCTTGTCATTGTAATCTTCTAGATCTTTTAGTTTTGTAATTAAAATATCTTAAACTAATTTCTTTTGACGGATTTTGACTTTATCTAATTGCTTCATTTAATTACATTTCTAATTTTCTTATTTCTATCTAAGTTTATTTTTTCTATTTTTAATATTATAATAATTTAAAATCTTATATTATTCTTAAACTAAGCTTTATAATAAAAGATATTTATAGATATTGAAATATAGATATATATAGTTATTTTTTATTTATAATAATTTTTGGAACCACATTTTCACAAGAGATTTTTTTTGTCAATTATATCTTTATTATCAGTCTTCTTACAATCTATAAAATTTTATCTTTTTATGTATGTATATAAAATTAATATTTCTAAATAAATATAATTGATTGCAATAAAGGTTTTAATATATAAAATATTTGTAATTCTAAAAAATCCTACATTCTTTGTTAATATTATGGTTGAGTATAATATGATTATTACTAATATTTCTTATTAATATATTTAAATTATATATACATATACATCATATAATTTTAAACATAAATAAATACATATATTTTTATAATAATACAATACATGTTGTAATTAAGCTTTAAAGAATGAAAAAAAATCAAAAGATAATGTATATTTAGTTTGTATTTGGATTGATAAAAGATTGTACTAGAAGTTTTATGAAAAAACATATTTGTAAATAGTTGATTGATCAATAATTTAAAAATATTAATTATTTTAAATTATAAAAAAATTACTATTTAAAATATAAATATATCAATTATATATTATTATTATAAATTATAAAAAATCAACATCAAAATAGAAACAACAACATATAAGCTTTGAAAGCAAGTAAATAAAGTCAATCCTTTAAAAGAGTTAAACCTCAAGAGTGCCATTTTTATAACTAGTAGAAATATTTAACTACTAGCTCAAGCTACAAGCACACCATAAGTTGCTATACACACACCCACACCAAATGGAGATTGATTGGTTGATATTGTGTGAAGGTTGACATCTATAATAATTGTGCAGTCAGGGAGTAGGCCATTTCTTCAAGAAGTCATATTAGTTGTTTATAGAATAGGATTTCTGAAAAAAAACCTCCAAAAACAAAATGATTTTTTTCTCCTAGTCTTGAAGACTTTGTTGAAGAGATTCTATCAAGATGTTAAAAAAATATTCTATGGTTAAGGAAGAAGAAAAGCATTCTAATGCTAAAGATGGAATAAAGCTTGAGATAAGGAATATAAAAAAGCATCACATTGTTATTAAAGAAATAAATTTTAAAGGTGAGGATAGAAATAATACTAAGAATGAAGAAAATGATTACATTAAAAATAATGTCAAGTATCAATTTCAAGACAAAAAAGAGTTTTTTTATACTAAAGATAGAACTATGGAACATAATGTTAAATAAGAGAAAAATCTCAAATCTAAGACTAAAATAAAGTTTAGAACCAATCTTGATGAAAAAGATATAATTTAAGATAGAATCAAGAATGATACTTAAGTTTTCAAAAAGCATGAAACTAAGTCTAAAGAAAAAATATCACTTTGATTCTATTGTTTTATGAGGATGGGACTTCTTCTAAGTAACTGCAATTTATCATTCCTCTTTAATAGAACTATTGTCTTCGTAATCACATTAATACTCTAAGTCTTAGTGGTGGTAGAATGGAGGCCTTTGCCAATAATTTGTCAATACAAATTGATTTCACAAGTTATGTTCTTTAATATTAGTTCAATGTAATTTTAGTATACATTATATATATTTTGGTATATGTATGATTTTAAATATGAGCTTAATTTATTTTATGTAAAATTTTTATTATTAATTCATTGCCATCTATTACATTGTCATTTAATAATATGGTCATTAGGTGAAAGAAAAAATATAGTATTTTATTATAAAAGACTCTATAAAAAGATATAATAGAAAAAATAAGGATAAATGAAAGAAAAGAAGTAAAAACTTTAGTCTTAATGCAAACCTTTTAATAGAAGAAACTTCTATTTATTTTATAGAGGCATAAATGAATCAAATCAAAATAAATAAAATAACTTGATTATTCATTAGAATTTGATTAAAATTTAGGATTCAATTAAGATATGGTCTAAGATTTGATTAGAATTTAGGATTTGATTAGGATTTGATCTACAATTTAATTAGAATTTAGGATTTGATTTAGGTTTGAAAAGAATTTTATTAAAATTTGGTCCAAAATTTGATTGAAATTTGATTAGGATTTGATTAAGATTAGGTCTAAGATTTGGTTAGGATTTAGAAATTTTTTAAGGCTTGGTTATGATTGGTTTAGGACTTTATTAGAATTTATTTAGAATTTGATTAAGATTTGAAATTTGATTAGAATTTGATTAGAATTATTTAATATTTCATTAAGGTTTGGTATAGGATTAGAATTTAGAATTTGATTAGGATTTAATTTAGGATTTCATTAGGGTTTTATTAGAATTTGGTTTAAGATTAGGATTTAAGATTTTAATAGGATTTACTAGGATCTGATTAAATTTTTTTTATAATTTGATTAAGATTGATTTAAGATATTATTAGAATTTGATTAATATTTGTGTAGAATTTATTAAATATTTTATTAAAATTTGATTAGAATTCAATTAATACTTCTATTTTTATTATTTCTTTAAGATTCCTTTGATATTTTTTTAAAATATTATTTATTATATATATTCTTTTAAGATTGATTTTTGATTTTTTTTATGTCTTTTTTGTAAGTTCTTTCATACTTCTTTTGAGATTTAATTAAAGATTGATTAACATTGTATCATAGATATATATCTACTCTAATTGTTACCTAGATAAAATGAATAGATAGAATTACGTAAAAATAAATTAATTTTATAATACCTTCTAGAGAAGCTTCTTAGAAGCTTTTTAGATGATGTTTTGACTTTACATATGTTTGTAGTTGATTTTTAGGTAGATAGTATATAAAGAGGCAAGAGTGAAGCCTTCTTCACTCTTGTCAACTCCTTTCTTGCTTCTAGTCTAGATTCAAGAGTCTCTAGTTTCCTTATCTTTTGACAATAGTCATTCCAATTTTTCTTTTAATATACATATTTCTCTATTTCTATTTCTTTGATAGAGTCTTTTTTTATTTATTTATTTTTATCATGTTCTTATCTTTGACAAATTAACAAGAGTGTACTTACAATATTAGAGTTTTAACGTTTTTTGATTAAGAATGGATTATTCCTTTTTCTTGATAAGACATAAACATATTACAAGTTACAAATTATCTTCTTCTAAACTAATATTTATCTTAATATTTTTTTTATTATCAAGTACTCTCTTCTACTTGTGTTGAGCAATATTAGATTTTTTTTTCTAATTATTATCATAGCAAAGCTTCTTGAAATAAAGAATGCAATGACGCAAATGCAAAAGCAATTGAAAGAATTAATGCTTGCGATGCATCAACTCAATTTATCACCACCAAAAACAACAAAAATAGAAAGAAGTGAAGATATAGATATGATTAGAGTCACTTCAACATCTACACCAAATTACATCTCTTCTCCTATAATAGAATATCTTCTTAGTATTGAAAAACCTGGAGTTGCCTTATCGAAGAAGTTTGATGGCATAAGATCTAAGTTTCAAGGATTTATAAATCAAGTAAAACTTGTGATTAAACTTCAATTCCAAAGCTATCTAACCCTAAGATCACAAGTTAGATTCATTAATACACTTCTTTTAAGTTTGGCATTATCATGTTTTTCATCTTTTTTTGAATGACAAGATTCAATATTCAATAATTTGGAGGCTTTTTTTTGGCAAAGTTTTAATCTATATATAAAAAATATGATGCAACTTATGTTACAACCAATAAGATTCATATCTTCTAACAGGACAATCAATTAGTGACATCATATACTTCA